AAACTGGTTGATCCACTCTGAGAAGGTGCTATTTAAGAGACTGAGCTGAATACAGCTCCTCAGACTGAGGAAGTCTCTCGGATGAGAGACGAAACGTTTCTACATTTTTTGTTGATTTGCTGTGTTTTGGTTTTTTGAATGTCCAGAGGACCAGATTTAACTTTTTTAGACACATGTTATATTACAATAACATAATTATATTACATTACTCTTGCTTTCCTGTTTTATTTTTTTCCCTAAACAAAATAAACAAACAAACAAAAAAACTTGAGTGGGGGTGGCGAGGTAGTCAAAATGCAATCACGTCATTGATATCGCTAATTAAATTACCGTACCAACCTATGTGACAGCAGTATTTATAGAAAATCAGATCTAACAAGCTTGACATATTCTGTACACTTTGACCAGATTTTGTAGAAATTGTCTCTTTCCACTTTGACAGAAAATGACAGTTTTTCCAATGTATAGATCTCTTTCACAACATCAATCCAGTCTTCAATTCTTGGTGGTTCAGGTTTGAGCCATCTCCTTGTGAGGGTCTTTTTACTCACAGCCAATAAAATGTGTAAAAGTTTTTTATCATTAGAATTCAGATTTGATGTTACACAAAAATATGCTTTGTTAAAGGAAAATCAGATGAGAAAACATACTGTACGTGTTCGTGGATCTGAGACCAGTATTGCTGGATGGCTTGACAATCCCAAAAAATATGTAAATGATTGGCACCTTCTCCCCCACATCTCCAACAAGTATCCCCAGTTCCCTGGTACCTTTTCTGAACATGGGTTATGAAAAATCTAATTGTGTTTTTCCAACAAAATTCACGCCAGACATTCGACCTTGTTGTCATCCACTGTATCTTACATATATGATCACAACTTTGCTCTGTAATCATCATGCTGCCTTCATTTTCCCACTTCACTTTTACATAGGCAGTGCTGTCTTTCTTACACTGCAGGATGGCATTGTACAGTCAGGAAATAGTTTTATTGACTGCTCTAGATTTAGTTAATGATATAAATGTTTCCACCAATCCAAGATTATTTAAATATACTTTTAAATCTTGATTAAAGTAATTTCTGACGTGTAAATACCTGAAAAAATCTTCAGGGCTTAGATCATATTTTCTTTTCAAGTTCTGAAAACTCTGAAATGCCCCCTTGTGGACAAATTAATAATAGTGTGTTAAGCCTTTTGAAATCCAATATTTGAATCTATCATCATATTGATTTGAGGTAAAATCTGAATCATAAGCACACCATCTTAAAACTTTAGTGGCATTTTCCAAACCATAAATTTTATTTGCTTTATTACAGGCAGATATCATTACCTGTGATATGGGTTCATCTGCCAAATGAATTTTATTCTGCAATTTTGTGTCCGCTATCATGGCTTTAACAGGTATTTTTTAAATAGTTGTCCCTTCAACATCCTTCCATCCTGCAGTGTAATCCGGACAGCACAAACATATTAATGGTCTCAACTGGGCTGCACAGTAATATTCTCATAAACATGGGAGCACATAACCCCCCTTTTCTTTCTTTAGTTGTAAGGTTTTATATTTGACTCTGGCTTTTTTCCCTTTCCAAATGTTTTTTGACAGTATTTTATCCCATTCTTCAAATTGTTTTGAGGGTATGGGAACTGGTAAGGACTGTAATAAGTACAACATTCGGGGCAAAATGTTTAATCCAATTGACTCAATCCTGGAGTGTAGGTTAAAGAAAGGTATGGTGTTCCATCTTTGTATATCTGATTTTATGGCTATATTCAAGGGGCCATAATTGGCCTCAAACATTTTAGTGGGATCACGATGTATTACCACCCCTAGGTATCTAACACTGTCCATATCCCCTTTCCATTTATAACAATCTTTAATTTCTACTGGTGGATCATAATTTAGAGTTAGTACCTGTGTTTTGTTTACATTAACCTTATACCTTGAAAACGAACCGTATTCTGATAATATTTTCAATATTTTGGGGAGAACATGTGTAGGATAAGATATAGTTAATAATAGATCATCTGCAAAAAGTGCTAGTTTTTGTTCCCCTGCTGCTGTCCCCACTCCAGTTATATCCTGTCTTTGCCTGATCCACTGGCTTATCGGTTCTATAAACAAAGCAAAGAGGAGTGGCGATATGCAGAAACCCTGTCGTGTCCCGTGCTCCAATATAAATGATTCAGTGAGGTCTCCGTTAATTTTGATCCTAGCTGTTGGTTTATAATATAACCCTGAAATAATGTTGATTATAGATTTATCAAAACCAAACCTCCCAATTACCTGGTACAAAAAGGACCACTTTACTGAATCAAATGCCTTTTCAGCGTCTAAACTTAACACTAAAGTCTTTATTTTTTTGTCTTTCAATCTGCTTCATTACGTGCAAAACTTTCCTAATATTGTCCTGAGTCTGTCACTGTTTGATCTTTATGTATTAGTTCTGGTAAAACTATTTCAAGTCGCTTTGAAATAATGGAGGTGTTACGTTTGGGAGCTGACTGCGGGTCGTCAGTCACTGCAGTTAGCTACTGCTAGCCGTGGGCCTTAGGCTTCCTCTCGGACCCTGGACCCTCAGCTAGCCCCCACCACTTCCTCTGGCTCTATCTCCTTCAAAAGTGGCAACTCATACTAATCAATAAATCAAGGAAACCTCAGTTAAGTTTTATCAATTATATTAAAAAAGGCAGGAAAAGGTTAAAATTTACAGCGCTGGACTCTCCGGTCTGTGATGCGTTCACAGACACGGAAGAGCCCCGATGTCTTGTGTCATTACTCATTTATAGGGTCCTAGACTCCACCTTCGCAGGAGGGGAGCTCAACCTGTCAGTGTATGAGGGGGCGTGACTAAGTGTGATCTCCGTGGATCTTATGTGGTTATGACTTGTTAGGAAATCTGAGACAGTGCTTCAAAAGCCTTCTACGTGATGTGGCAAGCAGATTAAACTATTCCTTGACTGATATTGAAATCCCAGGGAGACTCTCTTTAGAGTTGCTGGCCCAGTTTAACCCAATCAGAACCGGGCCATAATTTCATTATAATCCCGTCTCTGAGCAGATCAAAACCATAGGACCAGTCCAAAAATATTGTAACAGAGGTGAACAGCTTATAATCAATATTTAATACACTGATTGAGCGATAGTTATTGCATTCTAGACTATCTTTTCCTTCTTTTGGAATTATGGAGATTATTGCTTCCCTCCAAGAGGGACGTACAATTTTATTCTCCATTTACCCAATTAAAGGTTTCCTGCAAGGTGGGGATCAAATAATCTTGCATTATTTTATACCATTCTGGGCCAAATCCATCTGCTCCAGCCATTTTCCCCCCTTTAGTCTTTTAATTGCTGAGTGATTTTTTTTCTTTGGTTATTGTGGATATTAACATTTTATTTTGTTCCTCTGTCACTGTTGGTAAATCTAATTCAGATAAGAAAGTATTGAGATCCTGATTATTATCTTCCTGGGGTTGAGAATAAAGTCTTCTGCAGTAGTTCTGAAAGCATGGTTGGATTTTATCCTGATACATGCTCAATAATCCAGGTAGAAAAATCTAAAAACGTTAAGTCTGGTCCTCTGGACATTCAACAAACAAAACAAAGCAAAACAACAACAACAAAAAAAGTAGAAACATTTCGTCTCTCATCTGAGAGACTTCCTCAATCTGAGGTGCTGTTTTCAGCTCAGTCTCTTAAATAGCACCTTCTCAGAGTGGATCAACCAGTTTTGCTGCTGACAACCAGAACCAGCTGATCACATGCTCAAGAAGGACCATCAGCCTAACAATGGATCATTAGCACCTGATGGCTGTTTACTGTTCACAGAGGGCTGAGTGATACTAGCAATCACAGCATTGTAAGAGGGGGACAGTTGAACACGGAGGCCTCCACCCCAGTTTAATGATGGACGGTTTCTTTTCACAAAGATGGCCTCCTTTACTCCTCTCTCAAACCATCGTTCCTCTCTGTCCAGGATGTGAACATCTTCATCCCTGAAAGAGTGACCGCTGGCCTGGAGATGAGTGTAGACCTCAGAGTCCTGGCCTGATGATGTTGATCTTCTGTGTTGGGCCATCCTTTTGGCCAGTGGCTGTTTAGTTTCCCCGATGTAAGACTGATCACAGCCCTCCTGACACTGAACAGCATACACAACATTACTCTGTTTGTGCCGGGGGACTGGATCTTTGGGATGAACCGGTCTTTGCCGTAATGTATTTTGGGGGTTAAAAGCCACTGGGATGTTATGTTTAGAAAAAAAAAGTCTCAGTTTCTCTGATACTCCCTCAACATACAGAATTTTTCATTCAACCTTTATTTAGACAAGTACATCCTATTGAGCCTCGAGGACTCATTTAACAGAGAGACTTGATTTCAGCAAAGAATGATGACAACAAAGGACAACAGTGACAACAATAAACAGTTATAAAAATCATACAAATTTTTTATTTTTTTTACAAATAGGATGGCTAAAAAAAACAAAAGTAACAAAAGCTCAGACCAGTGGTCATTTCGTATGTTGAGGGAGTATCAGAGAAACTGAGACGTTTATTTTCTAAACATAACGTCCCAGTGGCTTTTAAACCCCAAAATACATTAAAGACTGGTTCATCCCAAAGATCCAGTCCCCCGGCACAAACAGAGTAATATTGTGTATGTTGTTCAGTGTCAGGAGGGTGATCAGTCTTACATCGGGGAAACTAAACAGCCACTGGCCAAAAGGATGGCACAGCACAGAAGATCAACATCATCAGGCCAGGACTCTGAGGTCTACACTCATCTCCAGGTCAGAGGTCACTCTTTCAGGGATGAAGATGTTCACATCCTGGACAGAGAGGAATGATGGTTTGAGAGAGGAGTAAAGGAGGCCATCTTTGTGAAAATAAATCATCCATCATTAAACAGGGGTGGAGGCCTCCGGGTTCAACTGTCCCCCTCTTACAATGCTGTGATTGCTAGTATCACTCAACATCCTGTGAATAGTAAACAGCCATCAGTGTGCTAATGATCCATTGTTAGGCTGATGGTCCTTCTTGATCATGTGAACAGCTGGTTTTGGTTGTCAGCAGCAAACTGGTTGATCCACTCTGAGAAGGTGCTATTTAAGAGACTGAGCTGAATACAGCACCTCAGACTGAGGAAGTCTCTTGGATGAGAGACGAAACGTTTCTTTTGCTTTGTTTTTTGTTTTTTTGTTTTCGTGTTTTTTGAATGTCCAGAGGACCAGATTGAACTTTTTCTGGATATTGTAAAATAGTGATGATAATATAAAAGAAGAGTGTTCTTTCAATTGATTACTTCAGGATACAAATCAGACAGTCTCTGGATTAGCTAATTTGTATTTCTAGATTCAAATCAATGAAATAACAGTTCCTGTCCCATGAAGGTCCTCAGAGGCAAGTTTTGGTCGTAGGCCGAGTCCACTACAGCATAAAGCCCACCCCGATGTCCACGTGTCTGTAAAGTCACGTGACCCCGGAAACGAAGCTCGTTTTTTAAACGGAGTCTTCCTTAGTGGTTAAAAAAGCTGAATGACAGCCCTAAATTTGTTCCTAACCTGATGAGTTTATGCCTAAAGAGCGTGCTTTTCAAGTGACGTTACGTTCAAGATTTAAATCCATCTATAAATGCTGTTTTGGACCGTGTTCGTCCGTTGCTAATCGAAGCTAACGTCTAACGACCGGATGTCAACAGGACGGTTCACAGGAAGTCGTCAGTGACTCCTACCGTCGAAGACGTGTAGCTACAGTCTTATGTAGTGGAGGAGCTCGTCAGGTGGAATGGTCGTCAGCTGTGGATGATTGGCGGCCATCTTGGGGCTGCAGCAAGTTCAACTCTTACAGTACCCCCCCCTTCACGAGTCGCCCCTGGGCGACCCAAGGTGCTTCTCGGGGTGGGCCTTGAAGAAGGCGGTGATAAGGCTGGGGTCCAATATGAAGGAATGAGGGATCCAAGATCGCTCCTCCGGGCCATAGCCCTGCCAATCCACGAGATACTGGAAGCCCCGTCCCCGGCGACGGACATCCAGAATGGTACGAACAGTGAAGGCAGGATGGTTGTCAATAAGTCGGGCGGGTGGAGGGAGGTCGGCAGGAGGGCACAATGGGCTCTCTGAAACAGGTTTTACCTGAGAAACGTGGAAGGTAGGATGGATTCTCAAGGAGCTGGGGAGCTGTAGGCGCACAGCCGAGGGATTGATGATCTTGTCAATCGTGAATGGGCCGATGAAGTGAGGAGCCAATTTCCTGGGGGTGTCCTTGAGATGAATGTCTCTGGTGGATAACCACACCTTCTGGCCCTCCCGATAAGAAGGTGCGGCGGAACGGTGATGGTCCGCGAACCTCTTGTTTTGAGCCACCGTGCGAAGAAGAGCCGCCCGTGTTTGGCGCCAGACACGTCTACAACGACGAAAATGGTGCTGGACAGACGGTACTGAAACCTCTGTTTCCTGACTGGGGAACAAGGGAGGGAGATAACCCAGTGAAGCCTCAAAAGGTGACATACCTGTGGCCGAGGAGGTATGCGAGTTGTGGGCGTACTCGACCCACACAAGATGTTGACTCCACGCTGAGGGGTTACGCTCCACAATGCACCTCAGAGTGGTCTCCAGCTCTTGGTTGCACCTTTCAGTCTGTCCGTTTGACTGAGGATGATAACCCGAAGTGAGACTGGTGGACGCCCCCAATGTCCTGCAGAAACACCGCCAAACTTGGGAAATGAACTGCGGACCTCTGTCAGAGACCACATCTGAAGGGATGCCATGAATCCTGAAAACTTGTTGGACCAAGATTTGAGCTATCTCCATGGCCGATGGGAGCTTGGATAGAGGGACAAAATGTGCTGCTTTAGAAAACCTGTCGATGATAGTTAGAATAGTGGTGTTACCTTCAGAAGGGGGTAACCCGGTGACGAAGTCCACTGAAATGTGAGACCAGGGTCGGCTAGGCGTCGGCAGAGGCTGTAGGAGACCGGCAGGAGGCTGAGTACCGGTCTTATTCCTGGCACAAGTGGAGCAAGCCGCAACAAAGTCCTTGACATCCTTAGAAAGCGTGGGCCACCAGAAATGTCTCTTCGTAAGAGACAGCATACGTGCTGTACCGGGATGACACGAGAGTCTATTGGTGTGGAGCCAGTCAAGTACCTTAGACCTCATATGAGAGGGGACGAACAAAGTGCCAGGGGGACCAGTGCCAGGATCAGGTTCCTTCAGGTGGGCCTCACGAACCTCTCTCATAATAGGCCATGTAAGGGCTCCGACGATGCAGACCGGGGAGATGATGCCCTCCACAGGTTCCAGAGTGTCTGGAGGAGAAAACTGGCGGGAGAGAGCGTCAGGTTTGATGTTCTTGGTACCAGGTCGGAAAGTCAGTGTGAAGTTAAAACGGTTAAAAAATAAGGACCAGTGTGCCTGTCTGGGGTTTAACCGTTTAGCCTCTCTCAAATATGTGAGGTTCTTGTGATCTGTCCATATCAGGAAGGGAGTCTCTGTGCCCTCAAGCCAATGGCGCCATTCCTCCAAAGCCAATTTAACAGCCAACGATTCTCTGTTGCCCACATCATAATTTCTCTCTGCTTGAGACAATCGGCGGGAAAAAAATGCACAGGGGTGTACCTTGTTATCCAAGAGCGACCTCTGGGATAGGACCGCCCCGACTCCTGTATCAGATGCATCCACCTCAAGGATAAACTGCCGTGTGGGGTCTGGATGACAAAGAATGGGTGCAGATGAGAATAAGTCCTTCAGCTAACCAAAAGCAGCGTCGGCCTCAGGAGTCCATTTAAATTCTCTGGTCGTGGAGGTAAGCTGAGATAGGGGTGCGGCGATGCGGCTGTAATTCCTGATGAAACGCCTATAAAAGTTTGCGAACCCCAAGAATCGTTGTAGTTGTTTCCTTGTTTCCGGAACTGGCCACTCCACCACTGCCTTAGTCTTCTCAGGGTCGGTCCTGAAAAACCCTTCCCCGAAGATAAACCCCAAAAAGGACACAGATGAGGCATGGAAATCACACTTCTCGCCCTTCACAAAAAGTTGATTCTCATAGAGCCTTTGTAGAACTGCTCTAACATGGTGAACATGTTCTTCCTTGTTTCTTGAATAGATGAGAATGTCGTCGAGGTAGACGAAAACAAAGTCCCCAATAAAATCCCTTAACACATCGTTGACTAAAGCCTGAAATACTGCAGGAGCGTTAGTGAGCCCAAAAGGCATCACCAGATACTCGAAGTGACCCAACGGGGTTTTGAATGCGGTTTTCCACTCATCTCCTTGTTTGATGCGAACCAAGTTATATGCATTGCGTAAGTCCAGTTTAGTGAAGATGGTGGCTGGTTGTAACTGCTCTTGAATGGAATTGATTAATGGAAGGGGGTATTTATTTTTAATGGTGATGTTGTTGAGTTCACGGTAATCTATGCAGGGACGCAGAGACTTATCCTTCTTAGTGATAAAAAAGAAACCTGCGCCTAGAGGAGAAGTTGATGGGCGAATAATCCCCGAGTCGAGGGATTCCTCAATGTACGACCTCATAGCCTCCCTCTCAGGACCGGAGATATTAAAAAGGCGGCTAGAAGGCAGAGAGGCTCCCGGAAGGAGGTCGATGTAACAATCATAGTGGCGGTATGGAGGTAGTGATAGGGCCCTCTGTTTGTTAAAAACAGGAGCTAAATCGTGATACTCAGGAGGAACACCGGACATATCGGTCTCACAGGACTCTAATTTGGGCTTGGACTTGTTTGAGATCCCTGAGCGAAGGCAGCACCTTAAACACTTGTCGCTCCACCCTTCTACCCTTCCTAGCTCCCAATTAATGTGAGGATTATGGGTTTTAAGCCAGGGGTACCCAAGGATTAATTGAGAGGTGGGCGACTCAAATACAAAAAAGCTAGTGGTCTCATGATGGTTGCCTGAGGTTATTAAATGAAGGTCTGCTGTCTTAAAATTGACCTGGGCCAAAAACTCCCCTGTAACCCCAGCAATAGAGATTGACTCAATCCCCTTGACTGGAAGGGAGAACTCTTTAACCAAATCTTGAATAATTAAATTTTGTTCGGCACCCGAATCAATCAAGGCTGTGACAGGGAAACGATTTTGGTTGATTATAATTACAGTGGGTAAAGTAAGTCTTAAAGGAGGGGAGATTGATGCCGTGCCCACCTGTATCTCCCTCTTTATTGGTGGGCGTTGGAGTTTCCCTGAAGCGGACAGGAGGCTACAAAGTGCCCGTTCTTCCCACAATATATACACAAGCCCAAACTTCTACGTCTCTGCCTTTCTTGAGGAGTCAAACGGGTACGACCAATTTGCATTGGTTCGGGCCGATCAAACTGTGAGTTAGAAGACTCTCCCTGGGACTTGTAGTTCTCTGGGGTAAAACTGTAGTTGTACACCCCACTCCGCTGTTCTGCGGAACCGGAAGGATTCTGGGAGTTGTAGTCCCGCTCCCTACGGCGCTCCCAGAAGCGTTTGTCGAGAGATATTGCTAAGTTAATTAGCGCGTCGAAGCTAGACGGCTCGTCACGAGCAGCGATCTGATCCTTCACATAATCGGACAGTGAATTCAAAAAGGTACCTTGCAAGGCCCTGTCATTCCAACCTGTTTGGGCCGCCAGGATGCGGAAGTCGAGAGCGTGTTCGGACGCCGGTCGCCGGCCCTGCCGTAATCCCAGCAGACGCTTCTCGGCGTTGGATTGCTGCAGCGGACGGTCGAATATTCTACAGAACTTGGTGAGTAGAGAGTCAAAAGACACAGTCTCAAGTTCATGGAGGTGAAGAAACGAAGTAGCCCATTTTAGAGCGTTTCCCTTGAGTTGGTTAATGAAAAAGTTTATTTTAGCGATGTCAGAAGAAAAATACTGAGGAGCCCCCTTAAAGGCGAGTTTGCATTGTAACAGAAAACCTCTGCATTGATCAGGGTCTCCAGAAAAAAGTTCATAAGGTTTTACAAACAATTGTTGATTTGTGGAATGACTTACAGGGCTGAATTCGGTAGGACTCGGTAAAGGTGAAGCTGCGGCTGCGGGAGAAGGAGAAACAAGTTGTCTGTTAATAGCATGAACCATGCATCCAAGTTCCAGTAAGTTTGCCTGGGTGCTCTGTTGTTGGGCCATAATTTTCTTAAGAACCTCTCCAAAATTGTCCATGTTCTCAGCGTTAGCGGATGATGATGCTTGTTCGCTTCTGGTTTCGTTCTGGGTATGGTAAGGCTGGAGCATTATCTGTTATGATACGGACTACCCAGTGGGAACGAGAACCAGAACGACAAGAGCCTCAAGTAAGCAAAACAGTGTTTATTATTTACAGTGAATGAAAAGACGAGTATATACAAAAGTTGGCCTGGGACTCCTGAAAAAGGGAGAGACAGGGTCAGGACTAGGAGGCAAGTGGAGGCAGCTCAAATGGTGGAATAAATTGTTTTGTCTTTCCTTACAGGTAAATCCTTGTGGGGTGAGGTTGTTGGGGAAAATCCAAAGGCAGGCAAGTGGTTGGAGGGCAAAGGTAACAGAGGCGAGACTCCGACACAGGAAGAACCAAGAGCAGGATCCGAGATGGCCAGGAAACTGTAGACACAAAAATACACGGTAAGAAATCCTTTTCATATACTCAATCTACTGGCTAGAGGCACAACTACCAGAAAGAAAGTAATGCTCCAGCGACGAGAAGAGCTTGACTGCAGCCTTATGTAGTGGAGGAGCTCGTCAGGTGGAATGGTCGTCAGCTGTGGATGATTGGCGGCCATCTTGGGGCTGCAGCAAGTTCAACTCTTACACAGAGCCCACCGGATACTACCTACCGTTGGTAGTTAAAGGTGTAGAGATCTAAGGATCCCACACCAACTATGCTGTACTGTCGCTGTGGATAGATAAATCAGCTATTAACCAAGGTTTCTACGAAACATTGGTTAAAAAACATTTGGGTCCAGTTCTGATAGAGAAAGCTTTCCGCTTTCCATTGTATCCCAACAGTTCACGAGTGATTAACCTGAAACTGATCTGGAACCAACGGGAACTGGTCCACCCATTCCTCATGGTCCCAGACTTACCACATGCAACCTACATAGGCTCTGACATCTTGGTTAGATTAGGTGTCCGAGTGGACACCGGCCACAATGTACTGTAGTCACTAAAACCAGCCACAAAGGATCCTCCTGTGCTAGACACAGCAAACCTTACGGCTGGACAGACCATTCCAGAGGTCTGCCAGGTTGCTAGCAACCAAAACACCTCAGTACCACCTCAGGTAACAAACCTAATGGTACGAGTCCACATCGTGGCGGGACAAGCTATTAGCCTTAAACAGGCGTACTTTCAACCATCTCCTACGTTTTTCAAACTAGGACTGTCCATTGAGGCCGCAAGCCAAGTGAGCCTTGACTCCAGAACCACATCTGTTGTTGTGTGCAACACAGGCACAGAAGAGGTACTGATCCCAAGAAACACAAGGCTTAGATGGTTGATCTCCACAGATTTTCATGATTTTGAACTAGGCATTCCATTTCTGGGAGGACTCCCAGGCAACCTGGTATCGAGTCAAGAGACTGGTCCAGTTTGGTTCACGAAACCAACACAGGCCATAGCTCTCTTCTCAACCAATGATGTTGATTTAGGACCTCAAACCTATAGTGTCTTACCTATAGACAGGTCTAACGACACAGAAAGGGACTCACTGGAGCTCCCCAAACATCAAGAACCCTTAGCAATCTCTTCACAGATTGAACAGGTGGTCGCCCAAGCCGACACCCTGATGACTGATGAGGAAAGGGACAAACTCCGCCAAGTTCTCATGAAATATGAGAAGTCATTCTCGACTGACTCAATGGATTGTGGGTTGACTTCGCTCCACACAGTGAGCATCCCAACTCCGCCCAACTCACCGCCTACATTTGTCAGACAATACAAGATTCCCCTGGCAGCAAATCAACCTGTCAAGGAAATCATTGATGACCTTTTAGATAAAGGCATAATCAGACAGTGTAATAGCACCTACTCTGCGCCTTTATGGCCAGTTTTGAAACCAAATGGTAAGTGGAGACTTACCATAGACTGCAGAAAGCTAAACAAACAAGTTCCTTTATCTAGGTGGCCAATGACGCAGATCCAACAGGAATTGCCCAAGGTCACCGATGGTAAGTACTTTTCCACCCTCAATGTCGCCTCTGGTTTTTGGACCATTCCTGTGTGCACCGAGGACCAACACAAACTAGCTTTCACTTTTGGTAGCCGACAATACACCTTCACCAGGTGCCCCTTTGGCTACGCTAACTCACCAGCTGAGTTCAACATCTTTTTGAACAAAGCATGTCCAGACACCCACGAACGTGGGACACTGATCTACGTGGATGATGTCCTTTTGAGGCAGCCAACACTGGACTCACACTTGGCTGAGATCTACCACCTTCTGAATCAACTGACTACTGCTGGTGCTAAAATCTCACTGTCAAAATGCCAGTGGTGCAGGACCAAGATGGACTACGTTGGCCTACTAGTAGGTCCAGACAGAGTACAACCACAATTGACTCGCACCTAAGGCCTAGACAATCTCAAAGTCCCCACCAATCTCAGAGAACTACAAAGTTTTCTGGGCGTGTGTAACTACTCAAACCTATTCATAGAGAACTATGCAGACCTTGCGAAACCACTGACTGAACTCAAAGAAAGACATCCCATTTGTCTGGACTGATAACCAACAGCAGGCAATGAATGCTCTCAGGGACAGACTCAAGTCAGCCCCATGTCTAGTCTATCTAGACTACAACAAAGAGTTTCACTTGGAAGTGGGCTTTTCAGCTCACTGCATAAGTGCAGGTCTGTACCAGATGCACGACAAAGACAAGCGTGTGATGGCCTATGCCAGTAAGACAATGGCAGGCCCCGAATTAAAGTTTTCGGACTGTGAGAAAGCTCTACTGACCACTGTGTGGGCAGTTAAGCACTTCTTCAGTTACATCGGTGGACAAAAAATCATTGTTGAAACACAACACCAGCCAGTAACTTTCCTGAATAGCCAACGCATCAGAGATGGTGTGGTGACAAACTCACGGGTAGCCACATGGCTCATGGCGCTTCAAAGTTTTGACCTAGACATCTGCTACGGACAAAACAAGAAGTCACATTTGGGCACCGACCTGGCACTCTGCCAGGAATGTACACAAGATGTACCAGCCACCCAACCGCCAGCTGCGGAAAAACCCTCAGTAAGTGAGGACCCGAATCACCACTACTTTGATAGCAATATCTGCAAAGATATGACAACACTGTACGTGGATGGATGTTCATTCCACCACGAACAAACCTACAAATCGGGTGTTGGAGGGATCCTCCTCCAGCACCAAGAAGAGATCACTTTTAGCTATAAAATAGGCTCTCAGTCTTCTCAGTACACTGAGATAGAGGAATCCTAATAGCTCTCCAGATGGCAGTAGAACGCTCCATCCAAACGCTAGTCATCTGCACAGACTCTAATTACGCTCGACTTAGTTTCTTGTGTCATCTCGCTCTGTGGAAACAGAACGGCTTTCTCACAAGCAACAAGAAAGTGGTCAAACACAAAGAGCTTTTCATGGCATGTGATCACTTGGTGACATCACATGACCTACAGGTCTACTGGAAGAAGGTTCCAGGACATTCAAGAGTCCTAGGCGATGACAAGCGGTATAATGACCTTGCAGACTTCCTAGCCAAGGACGGAGCCGTGGACGGCCCTCCGTGGTCCTTTGACCCCTCCTGGCTGCTCGCAACAGTGTCAGTACAACCTACAGCCGAGATAATGGCAGTCACACGTGCACAGGCTGAAGCCAAACCAGCTGACAACACAGTCTCTGTACAACCCGTGCTGACTGACCCAGACATCATCCACCTTCAGAAGTTGGATCCTACGATAAACTCGATGATACTGTACTTGACTGACCCAGACAAAAACACTCTGTCCGAAGTCGACCTGGATTCCAATCCAGATCTTAAAGTCCTCTTTCAGCTGTGCAAACAGCTAAAACTAATCAAGGGCATCCTAACTTTTGCTCATGGACCAACGTCCTCACCCGTGTTCGTGGTCCCCCATGACCACAGGGGGGTGATGTTAGTTCACGCACATGACCTCTCGTCCGCAGGACACAAGGGAGATAACGCCACGCTGAAAGCATTAAAACAAGTTGCTTATTGGCCTGGAATGAAAAAGGATGTCAAGGACTACATAAAAGGGTGCCTGGTCTGTGGCCAGTTTCAGCCCTCCAGACCACTCCACAGAGCACCACTGCAAAGTAGAGGCATTGCATTCAAACTACACAAGGCGTTCAATAACTCCACAGGAGACAAAGATCTCACAAACTCGGACCTCGTGGGAAAAAGGGTCGTCCAAGCAGAAACTAAATAAGTCTAAGCTTAATTAAGTGTTAAGATAACAACTCAGACGCGATAACATGATCGAATCTGACAATCAGAGTGAGTGACGCATTGAAGCGTTGTTTTCTAGTTGCTTAATCACTACTTTTGTCGATGTTGAAACGTTGTTTTCTGGTTGCTTAATCACTACTTTTGTCGATGTTGAGACATCGTTTATTTGGTTTTGGTATTGTTTCTGAACACCCCAGCAAGAATGAATTTTGGGTGTACTTTAGTTAGAGACTATGATGACTTTAACTATGCCAACATGCAGTTCATTTGTTAAACTTCAATCGTTGAGAAGTCAATGTAGATTAATGCTACATTGGTCTCACGACTCTCAAGCCGAACCTACTCGAACAATCCTATTCGGGGGGGGGGGGGGGGGGGGCTAGCTAATCCTTCAGTTGAGTCTCGCCATAGACTCCAAAAACATTTAGGGGGAAACCAAAAACCCAAAACTCAAGTCGTTCGTCTAAAGGGACAACATACAATTGAACCAAACTATATTTTGCCATGTAAATCTAACTTAAACCAAGTTAGGAATGGAAGAATAGTTTGGAATGCTCTTCTATAGGTATAAATCCCTATATATAATTTTTTAGCATGACCCACCCTTTAATTGGTACCTGCAAGCTTATCTAAATCATGATAGCTTACACACCAGGTGCATATAGGTTAAGGTCTTATGTAAAATCCCACTCATAAGACCAACTAAAACCACATAAATGCATGAACACATAGAACCAGAATGGCATCCACTGGGAACCACCAGCAGCAACCTTTGCTGAAGGGACCTACAACTCCAAAGTGGGTCTCCAAACTCCATCCAGTGGTCGCCTCTTCAGTTCAATTGAGGGAACCCCTCTACATGCTGATCAATCAACACCTCCAATCGTTGTGGATTTATCATTGTGGATTATATGATTTTTTCCAGTGGATTATAGACTTTGTTTCCAAGGGGTTAAAGCGTTGCTGCAATGGAATTACCAACAACATTATGGAATTGCCAAAACCGTTGTGGGATTACCTTCTTTGACTTTTGTTTTCCTCTTGCTGGATTACATCAAGATCAAGGACATTCGGAGGTGTAAGTTCATGTTGGAATTCATCCCCATGGACAGGCGATGATTTCCAAAGGGGGGACTGTAGTGACCTAGACCTCTGACATCAATCTGTCTCTGAAGACCTTCAGGGGACAAGAACTGTTATTTCATTGATTTGAATCCAGAAATACAAATTATCTCATCAAAAGACTATTTAATTGTATCCTGAAATAATCAATTGAAAGACTACTCTTCTTTTTTATATTATCATTAACTATTTTACAATATCTTGATAATCAAAAGTGTGTTTAGTTCATACCATTTCTAAATGTTGAAGTGAACCACTCATTTTAAATCAACTGTGAAACAGTATTAATGATTTTTAAACCTCATTAGACTTGGATCATACAAGTAAATGTCTATTTACGAAGTAAGTGTGCATTCACTCTTCTGTCTGTGTGAGGAGTGGACCTGATGTCGGTCAAAAGTCAGAGACAAGTTATGAGAACGAAGTGCCTTGTTTTTAAAACTCTCAGACAGTAAATAATAACTGGCTGGCTCCTGCTTTCTCTCACTTCTTCAAAATATTTATCTGTCTGTACTAACCTTTCTTAAAACATTTCTGCTGTCTGTTGACTTCTAATAACCCTCTTTCATCACTAAAACTACACCCCTGCTGGTTGTTTCAACCAATCAGGAAGTACCAAGTGACAGGAAGTGGATACCCTTTAAAAGGCAACACTTCTTTGAACTTTTCAGTCTTTTCCAGTCTTCCAAGTCTTCCAAGCTTTTCCAGTGTTCCTGGAACTTTCAGTCGAAGATGAGACTCAGTCTGATGGAGTCTTACAGCCGAACAAAATAGCTGATGGATTGGACCATGTGCCAAGGGTCCCTCCATTCCAGCGTAGTCATAGCGTGCCTCGCTGTGGACTCACCCCAAGCAGTAAATGCTCTCAACTTCAAAGGAAGCTTATTCTGTTGATTGGAGCATATGGAACTACTTCTAAAGATTCTCAGCCACCCTGACCGGAGACGCTGAAAAGGTAGCGTGCCAATGGACCTCTGTTCCGGAGTTGAAGTATCCTCTGCTCATGTAACAAGCCGTTGACGCCCTGAGTGTACCGGAGGGCTGAGCTGAATTCGGAGGAAGGGTGCCATTTTCTGGTTCAACACATCTTCCCTCATCCATCTAAACCTCCTCTTTACATCTTTAAACTTCTATTCTCCTTCTCTTTAAACTTCTATTTGCCAGTAAATCAAGCTAGATGCCTTCAGAGATGAATCAGTCTCAATCGGTAATCTTCTGTTGTCTTGTTTAGTAAATCGTGCCAAGTTTATTAATCAGAAACAGATCAGCAAATCAAGTGTACATGTTTTGATGTTAAATTTTGATTCTGTTAAATAAATGACCGCATTTATTCTGATGGGTCAAAGATAAATTACGTCTCATGTCACTGATTAAAACTCCACTCTCAAGTTATCTTGGTCACATGGAAGAAATTTAACTCGAAAAAGAAATAATCCGTATTAATTAAACAATTAATATTCTTTGTGCTTGAACTAGATTTAAGAATAATTAATTAGTAGTATGTTACAGCGAAAGCTGTCCCTACATCACTACAACAGTCATCGACATAGAAGTGGAAGGGCATGTTGTGTTTCCGGAAAATAGCACCAAGCAGCAGCAGGTATAAAGAGAATAGGAGGGGACCCAGGATGGACCCCTGTGGAACCCCCCATTTAAGCTCTGCCTCTGCGGAATTAAAATTCTTGATGGAGACACAAAAGGATCTGTCAGCGAGGTAAGATCTGAACCAATTGAGGGTTGATCCTGTGATGCCCACCCACTGCTCCAACCTAGCAATGAGGATCTCATGGTCGATGGTATCAAAGGCGGCTGTGAGGTCTAACAGGACAAGCAGCACAGAATCACCAGTATCTGTGGATGTGAAGATGTCGTTAAAGACCTTTAGCAGGGCAGTTTCCGTGCTGTGGAGAGGTTTAAAGCCAGACTGGAATAGCTCTAAGATGGTGTGATCCTCCAGGAAGCACTTCAACTGGGACTCAACTATTTTCTCCAGTAGTTTAGAAACAAATGGGAGTTTGGAGACAGGCCGGTAGTTGGAAATGACTGAGGGGTCAAGGTTTTTTTTTTTTCAGGAGAGGCTGGACAGCTGCATGTTTAAAGGATTTTGGCACCACGCCAGTGGATAAACTACTGTTTACTATAGCAAGAATGGACGGACCTAGAGTAGGAAAAACCTCATTTAGTAGTCGAGGGGGGACCACATCAATGGGGGAGCCAGAAGGTTTCAAGCTGCACATGACCTGCTCTAGAGAAGATAGAGTGGTGGGTTCAAAATGGTCAAATAGAGCTACAGCTTGAGGTGGGATGGATGGGTCATGAGTTGGTGGGGAAATGAGAGCCTGGGTGGTCGCAATTTTTTCCAAAAAGAAATTTAAGAAGTTGTCGCACAGCTCAGTCGAGGCTTCCAGAGGTGATGGTTCATTGAGGTGGAGAACAGAGTTTATGGTGGAGAAGAGGACACGTGGGTTGCGAGAGTTAGAGGTAATTATATCAGAGAAGTATTTGGATTTAGCAGCTTTCACTGCTTTCTGATAACGGCGCCAACTATCTTTAAGTATTTGGAAAGAGACCTGCAGCCTGTCTTTCCTCCACTTTCGCTCCACCTTCCTACATTGCTGCCTAACAGCCTTGGTGACGTCACTCAGCCAAGGTTCTGCTCTGAGTTTTGATTTTTTGGTTTTAACAGGTGCAACATGATCCATGGTCTTTAAGCAGACAGAGTTGAACTGGGATGTCAGCTCCTCAGTGGTGGTGAGAAACACTGGGGGCTGAATGATCATTTCAGAGTTATAAACATCTGTGAAATGTGCGACAGTGAAGTGGTTAATGGTCCGGGTCCTACGTGCAAAAATGCATGACTTAGGAGTTAGATGGGGGAGGGTGAACTCAAAGTGGACTGGCATGTGGTCTGAAAGAACATTATCACCAATAACAAGATTATTAACAGTCGCATCATGAGTTAAAACAAGGTCCAGTGTATATATTACTCAAGTGCGCCCCCTAGATTATTTAATCAGTTATATCTCAGTGATATGTCATCCAATATGTAGCAAATTTATAGTGGATGATCACTTAGCACTTTTAGACACAATGGTATTGTTCTTTAACATTGAACTCTATTGTGCCCCTACATTATTCCAACAGTAATATCTCAGTTATATATTGTCCAATCTGTACCAGATTTATTGTGCATGCTCAGTGAACCATTCTACACACATTGTTATTGTTGTTTAACATTTGACTCCTGAGCGCCCCCTAGCTTATTCTAAAAGTTATATCTTAGTGATATATTATCCGATCTGTACCAATATTTTGGTGTGTCATTAATTGAGCACTTCTAGACACATTCCAAAAAAGTTCAAACCTCCACGCTCCACTAGTGCATTGACCTCTCGCTGAAATTGGATTTATAATACCTCCACCTTGTGCCAATCCACCTGACGCTCACAGTAAGATGAACATTATTTATTGTCCATCTTACTGTATCATTTATCCTCCAACTATAAAGACTCTAATCATCTCTCCCTTCCCTTCCAGGGATCTCCAGTTTCAGCACCTGTATATAAGAGACTACGGTTATGATTATCACTGTAAGATAAACCACTCTTTATTTTATAATCCCAAGTCTGTTGTCCTTCAGTCCGTTCTTCCTGGGTACACTCCATCATTATGACAGGCACTCTTTACAATAAATAAATTGTACTAACAATAAAAATCTTAATAAATACAATAACAGTCAGAACCAGAACAATAAGCAGCAACAGACCGTTTACAATCTAACTAATCAAGTTTTAAGTTTTTGGCCTAAAAGACCAACTTGTCCACATTTTCTGCCAAGAGCATAGAACTTGTTGCAGTGAATATCTCCAATGGTGGAGAAAACCGCTCACTAACAACAGGTAGCAGGAATAAAGAGGTAGAGGTTTGCTAATTTTGCAGTGTGGCTGTATTTGGCCTCATTACTCACAACCTCTTCTTGGACCTTCTCCCACTTGTTTAAATGCTGCTGTTATCGGTCTTGCACCAACCATGCTGCTATTCGTTAGAAGAGGCGTTCACGTTCAGATGATGTCATTTCAAGTGCGTTAACAAGTCTGATGTGTTGCCTGCTGCAGATCCAATCTCCGTGAAACAATGTCGACACACAGCTTTGGATTTGTTCACTGGTCTTTTAACAAGAAAGACAAAATGTTCACAAACAGGAGACCACAACAAGATGCTAGGCTGCTAATGCTGCACAGGCTGCAAGACTATGCAACAATAAATAGCGCCATACTGAAACACGCTTAGGAACTTTAGTTCCACGGAGCATAATCTCTTGTTAATAAAATTTAATGAGTGAAAAAAATAACCAAAATGGTAAGCACGTGGACCAAACCGAACATGCTGTACTGCAACGGTTCAATACACCCATATGTACCGTTATACCCCTAATATATATATATGTGTGTAGTGAGAGAGCAAGAGATGGATTTAGCTCAGGGGTGCTCTCTTA